CCAGCGATAAGCCTGAATGCGTCCCTGCTTTCAGTCACACACCCACCTCGACGTGGTCTTTTGCCACATCTGAGCACTTACTTGTCCTTTGCTTTTAAACAACGGCTTTTACTTTGAATGTGTCTTACAAGGGCCCTCCACAGCGTTACCACTCGGTGTCACGGGTCACCTACCAGACAGTATCCTGAGGGTGGGGTGACATCATTGGAGTCTTTGGCTCCAACAGCTTAAATCTGCCCCTGGAACCCCCAAATGTGCCCCGAGGCCAGGTTGGGAACAGAGGTGTCCTCTGTGGCTGCGTGCCTGTGGCCCCCTGGCTCCTTTGTGGCTGGCACCGCTTTGGATTCTTCTGGGGACACTCACAACTCAGAGGTGCAGCCTCCCTGCTGTCGGCAGCAGTGGCCTCTGTCTTTACTCTCCCACCTCCTCCCAGGACAACACGGTCATGGGACTGTCTGGCCCTGGTGCCAACAACAGGCCTGATTCTGAGAACTGTTGGGGATGGCTACACTTCTTAGCCAGTCCTTCTGTGTGTCCTTCCACCCAGCCTCAGGTACCCTTCTACCATCCAGCTTTCAGTGAGCACATGGAGGGGCAGCAGGAGGCCCCCAGGAGCACAGGGACCCTTTCTATGTCCCCTGCGAATGGCCAGGAGGAGAGAAAGGCCTGGCTGGGCCCTTGGAGTCACTTATTCTTCATTTGATTGGTCCTGGCTGTGCCAGGCACGTTCCCACGCTGGGCTCTGAGCACCAGGTGCACCAGGAAGGAGAATTCACCATGGCAGGTTGTTAGAGACCAGCTCCTGCCAGGAAACAGCTACCCGGGATGTGACGGAGAGGGACCAGGGCACAGATACAGGTGAATGGGAGCGCATCCAGCAGAGAGGTAGCAGGGGCAGGCCTGAGTGGGCTGAGGCTGAGGAGTGGCGGAAGCCTCCAGCTCTGTGGAGACAAAGGAGCTGGGGTGGGGGTGGGGGGACACTAGGCTGGGAAGGTGAGAACTGGCTTTGGAAAGCAGTGCCAGCTCAGAGACTCATCCACAGGTATGAGGTTAGCGCTCTTCAAAACACCGCCACAAGGCAGGGGACTCTGGCCACTCAGTCACATGCTTCACTGTTACCAGAGGATGGGGCCACCTTCCAGTGTCTACGGGAGGAGCAAAAACGTCCTCACCTAACCAACAGGGAGAAGTTCTGACCTGAGCTGTATACGTGTCCTGACCTGCCAGTGCTGCAGGCCACCACAGCTGGTCAGGGTGGACATCCAAGAGCTGGGGTGCCAAGCCACAGGAGAGTGACTGTCTGACTCTAAATGGCAAAATCAGGCAATGGGAACTCCCTTGCATAGGCACACACAGATCAGAGGGAGAGTGACAGAGCCCAACAAAGGACACAGGGAGCCAGGTGCTGGTGGTTTATGCTTATAATCCTAGCTACATGGGAGGCAGAGTTCAGGAGGATCATCATTCAAGGCTAGCCTGGGTAAATAGTCTGTGAAACCCTATGTCAAAAATACCAATACAAAAAAGGGCTGGCGGAGTGGCTCAAGTAGAGTGCCTGCCCAGCAAGTGTGAGGTCCTGAGTTCAAATCCCAGTGCCTCCCCCCCCCACCAAACAAAACAAAACAAAACAAAAAGGGGCTTCTCTGTGAAGAAAGACTGAGTTCCCAGCCTTGTGTGCTAGGTATGTGCTTTATCACTGAGCTGTACTATACCCCGGCACTGAAAATGCCAACATTTGAAAGCCCATGTCCCTGGATGGAGAAGTCTGCATGCAGGCTTCACTCCACGGCCACGGGCAGGTACACACGCAGACTGCTGGGTACACCTCTGCACATGTAGGAGAGGCCAGGCCTCCAAGGTAGAGGATGGGGGGCATCCCTGGGTGCTCTGCAGCCATGCAGGACCCCAGGCAGAACCTAGCATGGTTCTGTGGACCTTGCAGGAGAAGGTCAGGAAGAACAGAAGCCATGTCCCAGTCGTGTGCAAGAAGAAACAGTGTGGGAAGTAGCTCCTACGTGTTTGGTTTTGTAACAGGACGGGGTGGTGGCAGGCCCACCCCCGCACCCCTCCAATCTGAGCAGGACTCTAGCTTTACATGGTCCCTGAGTAAAGACCACCCTGGATCTGCGGCTCGGACTTGCCACTGAGCACTTTAGTGGGGCCTTGTGGTCTCGTACTTCCTGGCCATGGAGCTGCCACCTCACTCCCTGCTGAGCAAACACCGGCTCTGCCCGGCTCAGAGTGGCTGCTTTCACTTGCAAGCACTTCTGGAACAGGACTGTTCCTCACAATGCATGTCCTGCACTCTGCCGGCAGCATCTTCTGCCGGACACATGCAGATTGGGACCCCAAAGAGCCCCACTGAACTATGGTGGCCTTACCCCAGAGAGCACGTCCCTGGGCACAGCTTCCAGGACTACAGGCCTCCCGGAGGCCAAAGGACACCTTTACTGTCTTGGGAGGTCACAGGCACCGGGGAAAGTGCCATGTGCCAAGGTGGCAAGTGTGGCCACAGCTGGTGTGACCTGCGGACCTTTACTCTGCCCTCCACGGGGTGGGGGTTTGTTAATCAACACACAAATGCTGGTAGACGTCACCCAGAAAGATCTGGCAATCATGGAGCCATGTCCCTTGTACTGAGTGACACCTTCACGCCCACCTGTCTGCAATGCCTTCTCCGTCACAGTGACAGAGCCAGCAACGGCAGTAAGGCTGGCCCTAGCCTGAAGTCCCCTCTCTGGGGCCATTTCAGCAGATGGCAGCTCTGAATGCAGACTGCAGTACCCTCGGTCCGCACGCATCTTCTCTCCTGAAGGCAGGTACTTCTGGTCTCGCATGGCCCCTGCTGAGCGAGGAGGAGTCCTGAGCTGTGGGTCCGTGACAGGCAGGGAAGGCCAAGAGAGGGTACCCTGTCCTAGTGCTCCCCTGTGGGGAAGGGCCGGAGGCTATGAAGGGATCTGTTGGCAGAGAAGAGCAGACACGTGGCAGGTGCATCTGTCCACTTGCCACCATCCATGTTGTAACAGGTCAAGGTCACAGTGCAGCAGTCACTAGTGCCCAACAAAGGGCAGAATCCCTGGGTGGAGATGCCACTCTCAGGACCTGGCCAGTCCTGGGGCAGTGGACACCTGCTGGTTTGCTATTGGCTAACCCACTGCTTCCCCCAGCGATCAGGTTGCTGTGGTGGCCTGCCACCCCCTCAGGTTCTACACAGTGAAAAAACGGTAGTATGTGAACCCTTGAGATCAGAAAACCTGAAGGGCTGGGGATTGGAGGTGGACCCAGGGCAAAGATGGCATCTGAGTCTCAAGCAGCATCTTCCAGTGCCAGGAAGTTAGACCTAAGCCCAGCCAAAAATGATGGCCCTCCTGCAAAGTCACTAGCTAGGAAGCAAAATACTCTAAGACCACAGGTCCAAGTGCGGCATGAGGAGGGGATTTGGGACTGAACTTCTTTTCCTCTCTGGAGGACTTAGCAGGACAGTTAACTCCGAAACTGCTTTGAGGATTCCCAGCTGTCCTCGACGGAGGGTGAAGGACCCTCACATCCCTGGCTCCACTATTTCAGAGCTATTTACTTCCACTATTCAGAGTGCACTCCAGAGGACACAGACAGCCGAGTGCGGCCTTCTGGAGGATGCCCTGCTGGGGACAACCTGGCCTGTTCCTTGCAGCCAGTTCTCCTGGTCACCTGAGCTGGCCCAGAAAGGGGTTTCCTGAACCTGCAGCAGGACACCCAGGTCCTATGTGTCCACAGGCACTGCACACACAGCAGGAAGTTCAAATCCTGGACAAAACCAGCTACAGACCTGTCTCCACTCCTCAGTGCCCAATCCATGAACAAAATGTCAGTCATGAGATCAAACGTCAGAAACACGTGACCTTTTTTGGTTTTTTCTCTCTCCTTTTGCTCCCAGTTCTGAGGAGTCTGGGCGATAAATGGCTTCTAGTAGAGACAAGAGCTGGAGTCTCACAAGGCAACTAAACCAGAGGAGAGCTTTTTGAAGTCTATGATCTTTTGGGAAAGGGATGGCAAACCATGGTCCTGTGGTCCATGGTCCAAATAAGCCCAGTGTTTTTATCTATCTCTCCAAAGAACAGATCTCACAGATGGGTATATGCAAAGGACTGGACAACAGGGAACAGTGACTTTGGGCCAATTCAGCAAAACCATCACCTTAGTAGGCTGGCAACACTGTAAAACATGGAACTCTATTTTAAATTTCACCAATAAAAATCTGGAAATTTTTCTCTTGTACTAACACATAAGGGCCTTGGTAGGCCTTGACTTTGCCTCTTAATCAGAAAGTACTTTTTTAAAAAAAAATATTTTTGGGGTGCAGAGGTTTGAATTCAGGGCCTACACCGAGCCAGACACCGATGGCTCATGCATATAATCCTAGCTACTCAGGAGGCAGAGATCAGGAGGATGGCAGCTCGAAGCCAGACTGGGCAAGTAGTTTACGAGACCCTATCTTGAGTGGCTCAAGGTGAAGGCCCTGAGTTCAAACTCCAGTACTGGGGGGAGGGGAAGGGGGAAGATACGCCACTTTTCCTTTTTGGGAGTATTTTTTGTGTTTGAATTCAGTATTGGTTCTGCACTTACTAAGCAGGTGCTCTACTACTTGAGCCACTCTACCAGCTCTTTTGACGTGATGGGTTTTTTTGAGACAGGATCTCAAGAACCGTTTCCCTGGGGATGGCTTTGAACTGCAATCCTCCTGATCTCTGCCTTCTAGGTAGTTAGGAATACATTGCATTATTTTTGAGATAGGGTTTTGCTTTAGCCCAGGCCAGCTTGAACCTCAATCCTCCCTCACACTTTCTACCTGCAACCACTGACCCCACCTGGCTTTTTATTGATGGAGTTGTGCTATTTGTCTAGGCTGGTCTTAAAACTATGATTCTCCTAAGTAGCTAGGATTACAGGCATGAACTACTGTGCCCAGCTCCCAAAGCATCTTAAAATATATAATTCTGTCCCTAAACTAATATGCCAAGAGGAAGAAGAGCACAGTTAAGTATTAACGCACACTTCTCTTTATTATATTAAAATCAGGCAATGGTGTGACAAAAGGCTGCTTATGGAATACTGTTATGTTCAACTTTACCTATAGGATAATAAATCCTTACAACTAAGGTTTTCCCCAGAAAAGGATGAATGGAAACATCAATTGCTTTTAAGACTTGATTGCTGCTGCTGCTTCAAAAGGTGGTTTTACACAAATACTAAGTTTTGTTTTCTTTAAAAAAAAAAAAAAAAGCCCTCGGAACACAACGAATTGCCTTTATTTCGGTATGCATCCACATCTCAGCATTTAGTGGTCCAGAACGGAAGGTGGAAAGGCAGACCAATCCTGGGACCTGCTGTGCACACCGGTCTCCTTAGACCCTGCTGAGGACCTGAGGAGCAGCAGCACCGAACCAGAGTCCGCCCAGGCCAGGTTCTTCCTGTTCCAGTTGTCAGATTCCACACTAGACCACACTAGATTGGACGGCAAGGGTGACCGAGAGCCCTGTTCAAACCTTCAACATTTGAAAGCAAAGCAATTAAGAAAAAAGGAAACAACTCAGCAGACTGTGTGCTTACAAGTGTCTCCGTGTGGCCTTCTCCAGGCTAATCGAGGGCTCTGAGTCACCCGGGTGGCCACTCTGCCCACCTCCTCAGAACCGGAGCTGAGAATGCATCAGCTGTTGGGGACAGCAGCGTGCCAGGGCCATGACTCAGGCAGGAGGACAGTGAGTGAACAAGGGAGGCCACTCTTCCAACCTTACCCAACGGCTTTTGGCCCAAGCAGGGACATGCTGGAAGTGTGGGGTGGTGATGGGGCGGGGAGGGGAAAAAGCAGCACCCCTCGGTAAAGTGGGAGAGGGGGATGGGAAAGCCCTGAATCCTCACCGAAGGCCACTGGAGGGAGTGGAGGGTTACAATCTATGCCTCGGCCAAGGTGGGAGTAAGGGAGAGGGGACGGGATGATGGCTTGAAGGGGCATCATTAAGACTTATGAAAGGAACCAGGGGTACAGGCAAAGCACCCCATACCCAGGCCACAAACCTGAAACCTTCACATCTACTCTAAGGAGCCACCACACTGGAGGTGGGGGAGTGGAGAGGGAGAAAGCAGAGACCCCAGGCCGTGTCATCAGCAGCAAGGAGATTGTGTGATGTGTCTGTTCACAGTTGAGTTAGACGTGCCCCACCAGGCATGATGGGAATCAATTTAAATACACTCTCTTGATCCCAGAAGTTCAACTACGAGGACAGTGGTTACACTTGACAATGACCTGTTATAGCACAACTTATATATTTCAAATGGACAAAAATTAGTATCATTTACAGTATCTTAAGATAAACCGCCTTTGACTGGGAGCTTCCTTTCCAGTACTTTGAGTCTACAGACGTTTCTAGAAAGTGGACTACGTGGAAAATGAAGACCGGAAAATGGAACAGGCTTGGGCTCCAGTTAATTGCTGTAACACTGTCCTTCGGGTGGCTGGGGGAGTTTCATGTTCTCTTTAGACAGCATCAAGCGCCGAAGCTCCTGCAGGATGACTTTGATGCTGTATGAATTCTGCCACTTGGCTAGCACGGAGATGGCTCTTGGGTCCACCTGCAAAGGCAAACGAAACCACATGACCATCAAGCTCCACACAGAGAAGCTGTGTGCTGGGGGAAAGCTCTGGCACAGGCAGAGTAAAGGGCATTTTCCAAGCTGCAAGTGCCTGTCACAGAACCATACCTGAGAGCACCACCCTGACCTGCGGCATCCACAGGCACCCAGCTCTTGTGACACAACCTGTTCTTGGGCAGGGGAGTAGGGACAAAAGAGTAATGGTGGCCTGACCCATGCTCCAGTGACGAGTCTCTCAGTTAGTGCAGTGTTTTCAAAAGAAATTCCCCAAAGTGTGGCAGAACTCGGGACGTCAGGTGGACTCAGATTCAATGAGGAACATGGAGCTGACAGCCCCAGAGCTCACCTCCCTCAGCCTCAGAGCAAAGGCCTGTGTGGGGTTACGGTGGAGAGCACCCTCAACACTCGCTGATCTCCCCTCTGAACAGGAGAGGAGGCCTTGAGGTTGAAAACCTTTGGCAAGCAGCATGTGGGGTAAGATTTATCAGGCAGGGGGTATGGCTCAGTGGTATAACACTTGCCTTGCACACTGGGTTCCATCACAGCGTCACAAAACAAAAACAACATGACTGTTTTATGACATTAATTGTTGCCATGGCTAACTTCTCACAGCAACCAGGCTGGTTTCCCTTTATGGCTGTGGAAAATGGCATTGTAGGCCGGACAAACCTCTCCAAAATGCTTACGACCAAAAGTGGCTCAGATTTTGGAGGATTTGTGAGACTTTAAAGGCTGAGTGAGTGTCCCTCATCTGAGCATTATGTAGGTAGGTATTAAAGACTTTTGAGATTCTGGAGCATTTCTGGACTTCAGGTTTTGCATTAGAGACACTCAGCTTACAAAAACAAGTTTAAAAAGCATGGTCATTAAATGAAAAGATTACGTACCTCAGATGTGGGCAAGAGCTTGCACTTCCGTGCCTCAGTTTCCTCATATCCTCACGGGTGTTCTGAGGACTGAGTGAGCTCTTGTCTCAAAGCAACAGCACACAGCTGTCAGGGCTTGCACAGCATGTAGAAGAGGGACACATCTGGCAGACAGGTTCTGCCTTAAATCTTAGACACACTGTGACCCATTTACCACCAGATAACCAGAGCACATGGAATGGCCCAGGACAAAGCCCCCAAAGGGAGATGTAACACTATTCTCTACCCAGAGGGGAACAGGGGTGTGTGTGTGGGCGGGGGGGGGGGGGCGGATTGGAAAGGACCGAGATGGATGTGCATACACACACACACACACACACACACAGGACCACACAACTTACCACTCCATTAGAACTATTAACTCCATTCATATTAATTTTCGTTACAAATCTTACAAAGGGGGGTGCTTCTGGATATTTAGGTCCACATTCTATTTTAAGGCTGTATATTCGGTTTTCATAAATTGTCTGGAAAAAAAAAAGAGTGCAGAGATGTCAGGCAATTACAACTGAAGAAGGGCAGCACTTATAAAAGTCCCAAACCCACAGTGAGCCCGCCTTGGCACAGAGCCCTTCAGCACAGCTAAGCCAGCAGGAGCCAGCTCCCTCACTGGTCAGTGGGATTCTGGGCCCTGAGGAAATAGCAGAAGACAGACACGTAAGACGGCCATATAAACTGTGGATGACAGTACACCTGGGCAGAGGAGGCATGTATAGTTCTCTGCCCTGCATTCTCTACTCCAGGACCATCAGCCCTGCATTAAACACCACCGTGTGCAAAGTGTACCGCAGGCCACTATGCCCTGAGTGGCTCCCTTCTCCTGACTCTGGGGCTGGGCACCACCAACGGGGGCCCCACTGTGTGTGCTGCCCTCCCTACAGACCCTACAGACATCTTTCCCTTTGCTAGTCATGAGGGATGACCCGGGAGGTTACTGGCACTGGGAGTCAGGTAGGAGGCCGAGGATCCCAGCTTGCATAGAAGACGCTATTAATTCTTTTTTTTTCCAGTACTAGGATTTGAACTCAGGGCTTATACCTTGAGCCACTCCAACAGTCTTTTTTTGTGATGGGTTTTTTTTCAAGATAGGGCCTCACAAACTGTTCGCCTGGCTGGCTTTGAACAAAATCCTCCTGAGCAGCTAGGATTACAGGCGTGAGGACACTAGTACTTCTTAAAATGCCAACTGTGCCTCTGTCAAGAAACAGAAGTCCAAAACCCCATGTCAGTGACCCTTCACTGTGAGGTCCAGCTGGTGGGCAGCAAAACATGCTGCAGTGTCAGGATGTCCCTCCTGCCCAGAACACCAGCCTCCCCAGAACGACCCACAACCCCAGAGATGTCATCCCCCAGTCTCTAGCCTCTGTCCTACATGAAGTCACACTTTCATCACCTGTGTCTGAAGTCACACTGAAGGGGGCCTCGCCTCTAAGAGCAGAGCTACTCCCAGTTAGGAGTCCTGCTTCATGGCAACTGCACAGGGTGACACCTAGTGGTCGAAGAGGAATAATCACAAAAGGTGTTCTGTTCAGCCCTTTGATAAAAAGCCAGAACAAGGCTAGGGTGTGGCTCAAGTGGTAGGGTGCCTGCCTGGCAAGCGTAAGTAAATACACCTACAACAGGAGTCTTTGGTCCCATTTCCTATGAGGGGAACAGGAAATTTTTTTCTCCCCTCCCCCACCTTGTCTATACTTTATCTTGTTATACTAAAATAAATCCTTGGTAAAATTCTAAAAAAATATTAAACAAACAAACAAATGTACAACAATCCATTCCCATCCTCAGGGATTTGCGCAAAGCTCAAATCTGGGTTTGAGCAAGCATGAGGGCCTCACAGTTGCTAGGCAGGCACTCTGCCACAAGAGCCTCACCTGCTTCTGCTCCTCCCCTCCTCCCTAGGAAGTAGTGCCATGGTCTACCAGGTTCAGGTCTGGTGCAGCAGACAGCTTTTCCTCACCCACCTTCCTGGTGCAGCATGTGAGGCCTCCCTGCTTCCACTTCTTAAAGACCCATATTCACCCACTGCCCTCATCTTTCACCCGGGGGGCCAAGGCCTCTGCTCTCCCCTGCTCTCCCACAAGCTGCCCCTTGTGCTGAGTTCCTCCAATGGCTTCTCTGGGGTAGAGGTAGAAGCCAACTGGCCTGGCCCAGTAAGGCCCCTCTTCTTACCTGCCCCGCCCCTGGTTCCTTGTTTCTCTTCCAACATGCCTGTTCTCCCTATCCTGGGGCTCCAACCCAGCTGCGCCCCTCTCAGAAGTCCTTACTCCCCACTGAAGATGGTGCTCGGACAGGGAAAACACCCACAACAGGAAGCAATTAAGGTGCTTCATCAAGAAAAAAAAAAAATTCCCTCAGAAACAAAGTAAGTAGGAAGCAACTAAGATGTGACTGACACAGAAATCCATGGAGATCATGACAGATGTATACCTAGCACAGGCCCCCAAACGCCACACACTCAAGTGGCTCAAGTGGTAGAGCACCTGTCTAGCAAGTACAGGGCCTGAGTTCAAACCCCAGTACCATTCCCCCCACCAACCAAAACAAACAAACACAACAACAATGACAAAACCCAAACCAAGCCTGGTGCAGTGACTCATACCTACAATTCTAGATATCTGGGAGGCTGAGATCAGGAGGATTCAAGTTTGAGGCCAGCCTGGGCAAACCAAGACCCCACCTCCAAAATAACAAGAACAAAAAAGGCTGGGGGTGAGTGGCTCAAGCAATAGAGTGCCTGCCTAGTCAGTGTGAGAGCCTGAGTTCAAACTCCAGTACCGCCAAAAAACAAAAGAAAAAAAAGCCCAGCCACATACCACCTCCCACCTCTGGGTGGGGTCTGGGTGGTGCACACAGATTGTCCTCCCACTAGATGTAACAGGCCCAGAACCTAGAGGTGACTGGCCTTTTTCCTAACAAGCATGTATGAGACAACCCAGGTTAACAACGAAAACCACTGACGAATACCAGTAAGAGACATTCTACCAAGTACCTGACCAGCACACCCCTTCAAACAGCCAAAGCATCAAAAATAAATGCCCAAAACCCACAAGGAGCTCGAGACCCGCTATCAGGGTCCTAGAACAAAGAACAGCATAGGAACACTGAGGCCTCAGAGCCGAGTGACGCGCCCTATGGGCAGCTCTCTGCACTTCCTCAAAGATCTACACCAGACCTTCTTTGCTCAGTGCAGCACTGTTCACAACAGCTGAGATATGGAAGCAAACTCATGCCTGTTGACAAACCAAAGGATAAAGACAGGCAGGCAGGCAGGCAGACAGACACACAGACACACAGACACACAGACACACACACACACACACACACACACACACACACGAGCCTCAGCTGGTCATAAATGAGAAGAAATCCTATCTGCAGTAACAGGAGTGAATATGGAAGACATTATAGTAAGTTAAGTAAGCCAGGCACAGACAAACACTATGTGATTTCACTTAACCTAAAACGGGCTGGAGCATGGGAGAGATGGGGTAAAGGGCACAAACTCTCAGTTTCAAGAGGAATGAATTCTAGAGTCTAATGTAGAACATGGGTGACTACAGTAATACTGAATTACCTACTTGAAATTTCTAAGACAGTATATCTTTTTATTTTTTGTGGGACTGGGGTTTGAACTCAGCTTCGTACTTGCAAAGTATGCAGTCTACTGCCTGAGCCACACCTCCAGTCCATTTTGCTCTGGTTATTCTGGAGAAAGTCTCGAAAATTATTTGTCCAGGCTGGCCTCATATCTGGATCCTCTAGATCTCAGCTTCCTAAGTAGTCAGGATTACAGGTGTAAGTCACCTTAAATGTCTTCACCACAGAAACACAGCAAGTGTGCTGACAGATGTCTTGATGAATTCTTTATTTTTTGCAGTACTGGGGTTTGAACTCAGGACCTACACCTCAAGCCTCTCCACCAACTCCACCCCCTTTTTTGTGAAGGTTTTTTTCGAGATATGGTACAAATAGCATCATTGTACAGTGCACTGTAATCAAATCATCACCTTGTGCACCTTGTATCTATGCACCCCCCCCAGCCCCCGTACTGGGGCTTGAACTCCAGGCCTCACACTTGCTAGACAGGTGCCCCACCACTTGATCCACCCAGAATGTATACAATTTTTACTGACCAATTATATCTAAAAGCTGATGGAAAAAAGAAATATCTGATACGATTTCCCTTTTACTGACTGACAAGAGTCAAGGGGAATGAGGCTCACTTCTGAGCCTTACTAAATGCATTCTGAGCATTACTTAAATTCTTTACAAGAATATAAACAGGTACCAGCCACATAACTGCAATGTCTTCGCTAGACAGGTCACAGTGCCGACACAAGAGAGGTGCTCACAGTCTGCTAAGTGAAAGAAAAGGTGCAGAATGTCCTGCACAGAGGACCTTGTTTTCCTAAGAGAGTGCCTGTGCTGGTACCAGGAAAGCAGGCAGAAACGCCCGACACTGATGTCACAGCCTTCATCCTGTGGGGACCATAGTGAGCTGTGGGAGGAGCCGTTCCTCTCCTTCCCAAACTCCAGAGTCTATACTGCTTCTCTGAAGCAGGGTGAGCAACACGTGTAGGCCCTCACCCAGCTTCTCGACCAGGGTTGTTTCTACCTCTGCCAGGGAGAGGGAGAATTCAGCATTTCTGGAGCTATTTATGGCTGTCACAGTCAAGGGAAGTGCTACTGTTATCCACTGAGTGGAGGCCAGGGATGCAGCCAGACAGCTTGTGATGCACACAATGACATGTATCACGGACGGAGCCAGCATGGGGTCAGTCCTGCAGTGGGAGGCTGAGAAAGCGCTCTCACTGACCACTGTGAGCACATGTGAGCAGAGGAGAATTGGCCACGCCAGGGGCTCGGCAGTCTGGAGTTTGCCAGAATTCTGCAAGAAGTACTTAAGCAGGAAGCTATACTTTTGGGTTCAGGTGACTTACTTTCCTTTAAAAAGGTGTATGGTAGAAAGCAAGTGTCCTCCTCACCTGGTCCAGCCAGCTGGCTTCCTTCTGAAGGTAGCCAATGGCACCAGCGCCTTCTACAATCTTCCAAAGGTGCCGTAAGGTACAGAGCACAAGTGTAGCTGTGATGCACTCCTCATGCCCTGTGGTCCCTGACTCTCTGCCCTGTGGTCCCTGACTCTCAGTGGCAGCACACTGTATCTGCTGCTTTAAAACTTAAGATTTTTTCACTTAAGTATCGAGAACATTCCATTTCAGCATGCACAACTCTAACTCAGTCTTCTCAATAACTAAGCAGTATACATATGGCCACTCCAAGACACTAAGCTACTGCCAATGCTGCATGAAGTAACTCTGCACACTGCTTTTTGCAGTGCCTTCAAGAAAGGCCAGAGAGAAAATTCTTAGATGTACTGGTATACACCATTCTTTTTTTATTTTTGGCTGAACTGGGGTTTGAACTCAGGGCATTGCACTTGCTAGGCAGGTGCTGTACTGGAGCCATGCCTCCAGTCCCTTTTCCTTTCGGGCATTTTCAAATAGTCTTGTGTTTATGTCCGGGCCAGCCTGGACAGCAACCCTCCCTGCCTCCTCTGCCTTATAAGTGATTAGGGTTATAGGCATGAGCTACTGGGTCTGGGAAGGCTTTTTACATCTTGGTAGAAGGTTTTCTCTTGAGTAAAATAATGAAAATAAAGAGGAAGATGAGTTACTCAGGAGTTTGACCCCCAGCTGCAGGGCATGTATCTTGTATGCCAGTCTAAAATATTGGTCACAGGAAGCCCAAGGCAGACAGTTCCTTTTGTGACTATTTTCAACCTTAGGAGAGTCAGGCTCATCAAACTGGGTAATAAGGCAGACACTAAGAGAAACTGTCATCGAGGATGTGCAGAAGTTCCAGTCCTTCTGCCAGCTGCTAGTGGGGAGGTAACAGTACAGCTGCCTCCTGTGGTCTCTCAGAACGTTAAACAGTTACACATGATTCAGTAAGCCTGCTCCTAGGTATAAACCCAAGAGAGCTGAAAACACATGTCCACACTGTTCCCAGCGGAATCATTCATAAAAGTAAAAAGGTGAAACAACCAAGACATCCATTAACTAATGAACAGATTCACAAAATAAGGTACATCCACACTGGAATATTATTTGGCCACAAAAAAACCAAAGTATAGATAGATGCTATGACAAAATATGCTAAGTAAAGGAAGCCAGACACAAACAATATACTGTGTGATTTCATTTATATGCAGCGTCCAGAAGAGGCAAATTCATAGAGCTTGAAGCAGATTGGACACAAGAGTGGGAAGGGGGTGGGAGGTGCAATCCAGAGTGACTACCAATGATGTGGAGTTTCTTCTGGGGGTGACAAAAATGTTCTGAGATTAGTGATAGTTCCACAACTCTGAATATGATAAAAAAAAAAACAAACAAAAACAAAAACAAAAAACACTGACTCATAAATTTTAATGTGTGTAGCCTAAGCCAGGCATGGTAATACCTGATTGCAATTGCAACACTTGGGAAGCAGAGGCAGGAGGACCATGAAATCCAGGCCAGTCTGAGCTACATAGTGACACTGTCACTGAAACAACCACCGGGTAGAGCTCAGTGGTAGAGCACTTGCCCGGCATGTGCAAACACAAAGCCTAGATTCCATCCTCATCATGGGGAATGAGGTAGAAGGATGCATCTCACCATATGGGAATTATATTCAATACAGTCTTGGGAAATACTGGGGTTTGAACTCAGGATCTCACACTTGCTAGGCAGGTGTTCTACACCTTGAGCCCCTCCATCAGCCCTGTTTTATGATGGGTTTTTTTTGAGATAGGGTCTCATGGGACTATTTGCCCAGGTTGGCTTCAAACCGCAATCCTCCTGATCTCTGTAGCTCCTGCCTTCCAAGTAGCTAGGATTGTAGGAGTGAGCCACTGGCACCCAACCTCAATAAAGCTCTTAAAAAAAGATATGGGCCAGGTATGGTGGTGTGCCCCTATAATCCCAGCACTTGGGAGGCAAAGGCAGGAGGATTCCAAATTCAAGGCCAGCCTAGGTGGGCAAAAAAGTGAGACCTTCCGTCAGAAAAGATATGGGATGAAGCTCAGAGGAAAAGTCTGCCTAGCATGCATGAAGTAATGAGTTTGATCCACAGCAACACACACACACACACACACACCACCCACCCAAAAAAAACTGGTGCAGGGAAAGCCCCTGGCATAATGCAGTTTCTCATTAACACCCATCTCCCTTTGCAAAGAGATAACGTGAAGTCCAGGGTAACCCCAGCTGTGTTAGGTAAAACAGGGCATCTCCAACAGAACTCCCTGCCTCATCATTCTGGACTTTGAAAGTAAGTATATAACCCAGTGGTATTTTTTCGTGTATTTACAATGCTGCACCCTGGACCACTCTTAACATATAGAAACTGCAAAGCCTTGAGTTGGCTAGTGAATCTCTGAACACTGTCCCATCCCGAGTCTTGTCCAGGTGCTGTGGGGAGGAGGAGGAACAGCTCTCATCCTTGAACCTCTCTTAGGAAGAAAAGAAGGGCAGGAAAGAAGTCATCAGCGTATGACTATGCTGACTTTCAGAGACAGCAGAGAAAATGATCTTCAAGGAACATACTTCTAGAGTTCTGGATTTCCTCAGGACTTACAGAACAGCCAGAATTTTCTTGCTTTCATAGGGAAAAAACGGATAAGGAAATAGCAAAAGTGATTAAATGTACATAAGCCTCCCCACAAAACTGGAGTAGCAAAAAATGACTTAAAAAGCAACCACAAATGCCAATGACACCTAGGAAGGACATCAGAGTCCTGACAGTAGTAAGTAAGGGATCCTGCCTGCTTCAGTTGGGGTCATACCTTGCAAGTCCCTCTATCCCTCAGTATGAGTGCAGAGCCTCACCCACAGTGTCAGGAAGCAATGGGCACACACAAGACAGGTCCTGCCACATTCAGGCAAAACCAAGTGTCACATTCTGGGACTCTGTCCCTCAACCCTACCTCAAACTACTACAGTCCTTGACACCCTGGATAGTTCTACAGTGGTGACAAAGGGAAACTCGACTTACAGACCCAAGGGAGACACTGGCTGAGTGGTCAGTTAAGACACAGTCTCTGAGATACCAGGCCTGTTTTGGAAGTTATCAACTGAGTGGACTTTGGGCAAATGATCTCACTCCTGAGTCTGTTCTCATCTGCAGAATGGAATGCACTGATACCAGAAGCAGCCAGTGACAGGTTCCAGTGAGAAGTTAAATGACGCTGCTTGAGGGTTCTCTATGGACCCTCAAAAAAAGGTCCCCTGGCATTATGAAGACTAGGAACTTCACAAACCTCACAAGAAGCCATTTACTACCCCCCATGGTCTTCTTTGTAAAGGCCTCTGGGCCTCCTGGGCCTGGAACCCACCAGGGCTGCCCATTAACGGGCAAGCAATAAACCTCTGCAGCATAGCTCCATGGCCCAGTGAATCAGGGTACTGAGGCCCAGCAGCCCTGTGAAGGCTTTCTTAAATTCATCTGGAGCCACTTCAGGACCTCTGGCTGCATCGGAACCCGGCTATTTGTTTTAAATGACACCTGGGGTATAATGACCTCAAGTTGGTCTCCACTGTCATGTAAATTCGCACTGGGAGCCTAAGCAGATTTGCTTACCATTCAGTGGGATTAAACAGCGTCAGGAGGCTCAAATAAATAAACTGAAACCGCTCAAGAAAGAATAGCCACAATTCAGCAAGTGTACCATGGTGAGGTTTCCCGTGATAAGGCTAGCAAGTTTTTAAAAGGAGGCAGTGTGGGTAAGACATTGATTGACATTTATAGCCGTAGCTCGACGCTTACTCTTGGAGGCCCAATTATCATCCCTGTCCATCTGGTAAGTGTCATGTCTTCGTCATCTTCTAGACCCCAGCTAACTGTGCCATCTCCTACTCCTTTCTGGCCTTCTTCGAGTTCTTCCAACAGTCGGAAATTGCGAGGGACTTTTACTCCTAAAATAAATGGAAAGAAATTCAAGATACGCAACTCCAGGGGCCTGTCAGCCTAGGCCACGTTGCTTGCCGCCGCCGCCTGGGGCACAGGCGCTAACATGCAAGTACTTCCCGAGCACGGCCACACCTCAAACATGCTGCTCAAAGCTGCAGGTGACCAGAGACAAGGGGTACATGGGTCTGTGACAGGTGAAGTGGCCAGGGCTGGGTAATGAAACTGAGGACAGTCCCCCCCCCCCCCCGCCCTCTGACAAGCGGCACAAAGTGTTTCCACGTCTCCATGCTGCTTGGCTTGGGGTCACCAGTGTGAGACCACCACCAATACAGAGTGCCTTGCAAGAGCAGGGCTCTTTCTTCTGTTTTGTCCTAACTGCCACACATCTTTGAGGCTGAAGGTTTGCCCATCTGCTGGAGTGACTCTCAAAGGACCCGATGAGGACCCTCTTCAGTAGCTGAATGGCCAAGGTTCCACCTTTCCAACCCCTTTTCCACTGTGGAGGGCACAGTCTTTCCTTATTTGTGACAATGTTGGAGGAGGGGAGCTGCTTCTCTGATTTACAGATTTCCACAACTCCACAGCCCAGCAAGGAGCTCGAGAAAGCAACATGGCCACACAGTCTGACTTCAGAGTGAAGCCTGAGGACTGGGCAGAAAAGAGCCCAGGCACAAGGCCTGCAGGGCAGCAGTGGGAGGAGACAATTTTTCCTGGGCCTGGGCGCTGCATAACTCTTAGCTTTGTTCTCTCAACCACTATGCCTGCCCACCTTCCCTGGCATTTGCACTGTTTCCTCTGGGAAACCTTCAGGATTCAGACAAGTCACAGGCCTGAAGGCCTAGACTGCTGAGTCCCAACCTGGGCCCTGTGAGGCAGGCAGCACTCACCACATGACTGGGACTCTGAAGAGAAGGCAGAGGGCCCGGGACTGGGGAGGGTTTCCCAGTGTGTCAGCAAAGAGTGGGCCAGTGATCATCCAACTGGACTAAACCTCTGACCCCTCCTCCATGACAGGCACTGGAAAAACAGCAGGGAACACAATGCTCGCCCCAGGGAGCTTACATCCTAGCAGAGGGACAAGTACAACATGACAGAGCTTGTTGCCCAGGAGCCTGAGGCCAAGAGCCTTAAGTGGAATCAAGGGAAGCATTAGTGAAGAAGCTGCAAGAGGGGAACTTAGGGGGAGATGAAGGCAAGCTCTGAGGCAGAGAGGGCTGCAAGGAAAGAGGTCTGGAGGTAGGGCCTTGGCCAGCATGGAAGAACAGCATGCTGACAAGCAGCTAAACCAAGTAGGAAAGATGAGTGGACAGATTAGGGGCTCCCACAGATCCTGAGTGACAAGAGAAGCCACTGGAGTTTTGAACTGAGTCACATAACTCAGGCTCCCTCTGACTGCAGTGTGGAGAATGCAGAGAAGGCAGCACAGGTGGAAGCAGCTGTAATAATCCTGTAAACGACAGTGCAGGCCTGGGCCAGGATAGGTGCCAGCAGAGATGGTGTGGAGGTGTGCATGGTGCCAGGTGGCCTACGAAGTGTGGGAGAAAGAGGGGTCACCTGTGCCAGGGTTCTGGTCTGAAAACTGGCAGGACAGAGCTGTTGAAGGTACACCAGACAACATATCTGTGATTGAGTGCTTCATTTCATAGTGTGCTTATCGTTAAGAATCACTACTTACGGCCCAGGGTGTGGCTCAGTGGGAGGGCAATTGCCTAGCATGTGTCAGTTCCACCTCCAGCAACACAGGTACAAGTGTGCGTGAACGCACACACACACGCACGCACATTTGTATTTAGGGCAAGTAATATCTCTAGCTTCCCATTTATAAGTTTCCTCATAAAAGTTTTTACAAAAGAACCAGCTGATTGAAAAACATTAAATAGCAAATATGGTACTTGAAAGAAAACAGCAAAAATCTAAAAGCATACTTGACCTGTTGGTTTGGAAAACACTGGCATTTTTCATCTAAAGAACAGTCAACTGGATTATTCAGTTCTACTGGATTAAGTGTCCTCAAATGAACATGAAACGAGAAGATGTTTGTGACATTATAGGTTAAAGTATCAGAATAACTATGCATGTGTAAAATAATGCATATAAAATAAATAAGCATTTGCTCCATTTTGGTCTCAAGACCCCTCCACACTTTTAAAAATCAATGACCTCAAAGAACCTTTGTTACATGGGCTCTAGCTACTGACATTCACCAATTAGAAACCAAACCCGAGAAACTGCGGAACGCCTGCCGAGCAAGCTCAAGGCCCTGAGTTCAAGCCTCAGTACCACCAACAAAAAAAGTAAAACTAAGAAACTCTGTTAGCTAACCACAACAATCATTACATGCCTATCTTGTAGAAGAACATTTTCTGAAGAACAAGAGAACCAGTGGGAGGAAAGGTATGGCCCTGAAGCCTTCTTCTGTCTGGTTTACAACGTGGAGTATGAAGAACTGTGATGAACTGGAGCACATGTCCTATCTAGAGGGATGGTCACTCCTGATCTGGATTAATGTTTGCAGGCCAGACTCTGCTTATGGTCCACACTTTGCAACACAGGGTTGCATAACTGTGCTAAAAAATTCCTTTGTGCTCACATGCCCCAACATTTGGCTCAGACCATATTTAAAATCTTTTGTCAAAAAGGCAAAAAGATTGTTTAGTGTTGCCATTGGACAGAGAAGTACAGTTAATTTTATGAAGAATTTATGTCTACAGACTAGAAAGCTCCTAAAGTAGACTGTTACTTTTAATTCCTTTTTTCTCCCATACAAGAACTAACCAGGCCCAACCCAAGCAGATCCAGAGGTCAGATAAGACCAGGGGCACCAGGGTGGTGTGCCCACAGACTTAATTCATTTTTTCTAAGCCACAAACCTTTTTTTTATTTTGGATGGTAGTTAGGAAGCTGTTCTATCACTTGCCAACCCCACAGCCCTTTTCGGCTTTAGTTATTTTTCAGATAGGGTCTTAACATCAGATGATCTCCTACCTAAGGCCCCCAAGCAGCTGGGATTACAGGTACATGAAAACACCATGCCTTTGAGCCACAAACTTTAATTTGCACTAAAAAATTAATCAAAAGCAAAGTCTGGGAGCATCAGGAATTATACAAACTTACAAATTATGGAGTGATTCATTTAGTCTTTCCTGAGATCTAAGCAGACGTGGCTAATTCCCGCCCAGTTAGCTCATGGGCTGAACTCTCCTGCGGTGAGAACACGAAGTTCACGGAGGGGTCCATCTTGTTCCCCATGTGGCAACCTGGACTCCTGCACCCTCCATCAGCCAAAACATCTACACACCTCAGGACTGCAATTAAAGGTGTGCTAGGTTTTTTACCTGCTCATCAAAATCTCCCTACACATTTTCAGTAACGTATGTGCTCACATACCGTCTTTTAGTATGATAATTAACAAACACTTACCCAGCACTGTGATGGACAATACAGGGAAATAAAAATAGGGGCCTCCCTGCCAGAATATCTAGTCAGTACAGAAACAAAACACACATATACAAAGTTCAATGAAACAAAACAGTAGGAAAAACCTAAGAAACAAGTACCACCACCACAGGACAGTGCTTCTTAATTTTTGAGGGATCACAACCTCTCTGAAATTTTAAGAGGCTGGGGCCCTGTTTCTATATGAGTGGAGTTTCCCTGAAAGCTAACAGTGGGTGCTGTACAGAGAACGGCAAAGTGTCCCCCTGGTCCTGTTTGGGACTGGAAGGCCAAGACACTGGCTTGGGGAAGCCACTGCTAATGTCTCAGTTTAAGCAGACACATTTGCTCGGAGCAGATTCGTGATGACACATCTGTTATCAAACTTTACTTATAGGCCTGGCTGATGAGATGCAGAAGGAATGTCACCGGCCTGTGCACAATAGGCCTCAGATAAACAATGGTTGAAATTAAAAAAAAAAAAAAAGAGCAAAAAGGAATAAAAAGGTGTGCAAGCTACACTGTATTAAAGACAAGCACAAAGTCGCTCCTGTTCTCCTGTAGGTGTAGACTGCACCAATGATGTGTATGTAGCTCAGAGACAGAGCACCTACCTACATGTGCCAGGCCCTGGCTTCCTTCCAGCAGCTAAGAACAGAAGAAGAAAGAAGTCTTGGAGTCAGAACTTGATCTGAGGTCTGTGATCCTAGCTCTCTCTAGAAAGATCATAGAATGTTCTCTAAAGCATATTCGGGCTTATTTGTGGAGATAGTGTAGCTGTTACTCTGGCCTGCCCTTGTAGAGGAGGGTGGTAGGACTGGTGGAATGACTCAAGCAATAAGAGCACCTGCCCAGCAAGCCTGAGGCCCTGAGTTCAAACCCCAGTACCACCAAAAAAAATAAATAAAAGAGAGTGACATCTAGATTTGTGTCTATGGCCTCCTCGTCTTTGATTCTTCACCCTCCTTGCACCTGTTCTACACAGGCTTTCCCACCTAATCACCTCCAACGGGGTCCCACCATCCTCCAAGTCCCCAGGTCAGATCCTGATGTCCAGGATGTCCCTCCATGAGGCCTCCAGGGCAGAATCCCCAACTTGTTCCTCAAGGGCATGATCTGCCCCGCAGCCCAAGTGATTTTACTCCCCAATTCACACTTCAGTCAACTGCCTGCACTTCTCCAAACTAACCAACCCCAACCACAGCACCCGCTACAGACCTCCTCCCCACCCCTGATTTGGCAGTCATGGCGAGAAAGCTCTACTTACCACCATGTCCACAGGAGCGCTGCAGTCCCTGCCCTGTCAGCATCCTAACCAGCCTTGTGGTCTGTGGGACCCTTCCTCACCTGTTCTGCCCCTGCAACCACAACACACCCCACCCAAGCTCCCATGCCTCCCCCCCCCCGCCCCGCTTTGCTGTCTTCAGCCCTTCTTCATGCTTCCGATTCCTACTTCCTCAAGCTAGGCTGGCTTCCTGTCCTCTTCTCTTGCTTTGTTTGCTCTTTATGGCACCGTACCACCTGACATTCTCAATAGAGAATTTGCACCTGGCTGCTGATTGTCTGCCTCTTCCACCTACCTGCACAGAAGCTACATAAGCCCCCAGCAGGCACAAGGATGCCTGCCCAGTGACCGGCTGACTGAAAGACTGGGGCCAGCTGGGGTCATTACTTCAGTATAGAAAATGCTAAGCACCACCAAATTCTAACTCTAACTTCTGAAAATACAACCAGGAACTATTCACAGCAGCATTAAAAGGGAATCTAATATTGAAAGACTATTAAAGGGCTTAGTATGGATTTTGAAGAAAAATTACACATTACACTTTGAATGTTTTATTGGTGGTACTAAGGTTTGAACTCAGGGCTTTGCGCTTCCTAGCAGGTGCTCTACTGCTTGAGCCAAGCCTCCAGCCCTTTTTGTTCTGGTTACTTTTGAATAGGGTCTTGCTTTTTCCCTGGGTTGGCTCAGCCCACGGTCCTCCTATTTTACGTGTCCTGCCATTGCTGGGATACAGGCAGATGCGCCACACCCAGCTTTTGTCCCTTGAGATGGGGTCTTTTTTTTTGTGGTCCTGGGGCTTGAACCCAGAGCCTTAACCTTGAGCCACTCCACCAGCCCTATTTTTGTGAAGGGTTTTTCAAGATAGGGTCTCACAGAACTATTTATCCGGGCTGATTTTGAACCATGATCCTCCTGATCTCTACCTCCTGAGTAGCTAGGATTACAGGGGTGAGCCACCGGCACCCAGCTTGAGATGGGATCTTGCTAACTTTTTTGCCCAGGCTGGCCTGGAACTGCAATCCTCCTGATCTCAGCCTCCCACGTAGCTGGGATTACAGGCGTGAGTCACCACTGGTGCCCAGCAAATATAATGATCTTGAACACTCTTACCTAATAAGCCGCAGACAGCAGAGGCCCTGAGAGCTCTGTCCCCACACACCTCCACCTCCACAGATGGCCTCTGTATACTTTTTCTGTTCCCTTTCTTCTTTTCTTTTCCTTTTTCGCTGTGGGACTTACTCCCGGAGCTTCTCCAGGCAGAGTGTGAGTCATCCAATCCCCCCCACACCATGTCTGCCACATGGTGCTCAATCAATGCTTCCTGGATGAAGAAACAGCAGAATCTTCCTTTTCTACTGTGAACTCTAGAAGCCTACTGGGACCAAGAAAATGACACTGGGACCATATACTTGACACTGAAGGCTTTTTATTTTAAGATGAGTAAAACTTGCTAAATTTTTAATGACTGAGAACTTTATGGACACATACTTTAAAAAACTGAGGAAAAACTGGTTCTTCAACCAAGCTACAAAATGAAAGGATTTTTTCACTATAAAATGAACTTTGTTTTGCAAAACATGTATAAAAGCATGTTAGTGATATTCCAAGCCACTTAGAAACTGCACAGTAGTTAACACCTCATTAGAGAATGCTGATGAAGGGACGGAGCATTTTGATCCAAACGGCCCAAGCACACCCTGGTTCTAGAACTTTAGGGACATAAATCCTCCAATCAGTGCAGTCCAGAGACCCTAAGACTTAAGGATGCACCAGCCACAGGAGACTCGTCCATCCCAAAGAGTGTGTAGGCTCGAAACTCTTGATACAATGAATATAAGAAAAGGGAAGTCCACACATGTCAAAGAGCAGAAGTCCCAGAATACTGCAACTATGTCCTCCTATTCCTATGGCACTTTAACCAATCCAATCAACCTAAAATGTAAGAGTCCCATCATTTCTTTGTCAATCTGACACCTGAAAAACAGCCGGAAGAACAGCATCAAGAGACGACAGAGAGGACAGAAAAGGGGACTTGTGCTAATCTTGCAAAACTAGGAGAACTACAAGTACTACAAGACCTAGCAGTGTATTAGGGAAATCTATGATAAGTATAAGTTAATAGACAGTAAGTATTAAAAATTAACTAAGCCAGGCACCAGTGGCTCACACCTGTAATCATAGCTACTTGGAGGTTGAGTTCGGGAGGATCTTAGTTTGAGGCCAGTCTGGAAGAATAGTTCAGGAGACCCCCATCTCCAAGATAACCAGAGCAAAATGGACTGCAGGTATGGCTCAAGAGCATCTGCTTTGCAAGTGTGAAGCTGAGATCAAACCCCAGTAACACCAAAAACAAAACAAAAATTTAACTATGAAAATGTTTAGGTAACCACTAAGGTGCTAAAATATAGTAGTTCAAGAGTTTAAAACTAAATATTTGCTCCTACTATTTCAGAATTCTTTCTTGAGGATTTTTCCTGGATGTGTGTCAGAATTAGAAGTCAGCCAGGTGCTGCCTTGACTGCAGGATATTACAAAGAAAAAATATGACAGCTAGGCTGAAAAAGCATGAACATCTGATAGGATGTTATTCCATGTCACAGTAAAACTCTTAGTGCAGTAATTTGAAACAGCAACACATTAAAATATTTGTGGTAAAAAGGGTTTTGAAAGCTGGGTGCGGTGGTACACGCCTGCAATCCAATCCTGGAACCCAGGAGGCTCAGGCAGCAGGGTCTATGAAGCCCAAGTGAGATCCTGGCTCCTAAGGAAAAAAAAAAAAAAAAAAAAAAATTTTGAAGACCTCTAAAACTCTTCTGGGGAACTCCCAGTCACAAAGCAGCAGGCAGCCTGTGGGTTGTGAAAGCTCTGACATGGCCTGGCCCCAATTTACAATGAATGGCAGGACTGGGGGTTCTGTCTGGCTGCTGGCTAAATGGTTTGGGTGCCACTTCAGGAAGTAAGAGGCTGAAAGGGAATGACTGACATGCAATGTCCCTGAAAACGGGACACGAACTAATTTTTGTTCCTGACAACCAGCTCCACAGGCTAGGCTGCCCAGAGAGACCTCTCCTCCAGAGCAATGGTTCACCAGTGTGGTCCCCAGACCCACAGTCTGACCCTCATTTAGGAACTAGAGAACCTGAAGCCGAGGGTGGGCCCTGAATGTGGGTGCCTCTGCTGGTAGGGACAGTGGCCAAGGCCAAGGTTGAGGTTTTCTGGCAAGGGTGGAGAGAAAGGGTAAAGTGTGGGGACAAGTACTCTGATGAAGCACCACAACGAGCAGGGACCCTTTGTGAAGACTGCCTGCCTGGGGTTCACTATTTCTTCACACATCAAATTTAGATATTTGGACATATCAAAGTGAGACCCCAGATTAATGCAATGCAATTTTTTCAGCAAGTACTGTTATGCCAGGGGCTATGCTGGATGCTAGGATCCTGCTTGATATACAGACACAGAAAACATGCAAGAAAACCAGTAAGATGACTTCAGGAAAGGCTGTGCTTAGAATAGGACCAAACAGGGACCTGGGACAGAGGTCAAGAAGACTGGATGGATGAGGCAGCCTTTCTGGGAACTGTCACCTAAAGAACAAGAAGCAGACAGGTGTTGGGTGCTGATGGCTCATGCCTGTAATCCTACCTATTCAGGAGGCAGAAATCAGAAGGACCGCGGTTTGAAGCCAGCCTGGGCAAATAAAAAAGGGCTATCGGAATGGCTCAAGGTATAGCCCTGAGTTTAAGCCCCAGTAGTGCAAAAACAAAAAAAAAGCAGCCAGGTACATGGCTCTAGAGACAGACTTCCAGCTGGAGAAGCACAGAACAAGGGTGTGTGTACCACCACACATGTGGCAGGGCTGTGGACATGGCACAGCAGGAAAGGCTTTCTGTGGGGCATGGCAGTCTGACATTCTGCCTCCTGCCCAGAAGGTAGATTGGAAAAGGGCGAGACTGACAAAGCAAGAGGACTTTCTCAAGACCGTTCTGGTTAGACTAGGCTGACAGCGATGAGATGAAGGGGAGGAGGATTTGACAAGTTCTGTGGGGTCACTCCTGCTGGACTTGTGACATGGTAGGTATAGACACAAAGAAAGACTCCCATCTGAGGGTTCTTCCTATCTA